AAAGGTCATGTAGAGTTGGGAGAGGTCTCATTTTAATCAGAAATGTGCGATCTACAATCATGCCTCATTAAGAACAGTTCGGGTTATTTTTTGGGGTTTCTGAAAAACTCGTTTTCTAGAAAACCAGATCTTCGAAGGGCTATGCGGAAGCCGTATGGTCATATTCGTAATCAGCATGGTCGATAACCTATAACCCGCTAGATTCCGAGCAAAAAGCGTTTAATCACTTCGTGGGGTTCCCTCGTTAGTTTTATTGATAATCATGTAAATAATTATATAAATAATGACAAACATTGTTTGCATAAGCATCAATCATCCATAAATACCGAGGAAAGAACCAAATCCTATAAAAAGGGCAAACCAACTTTTATACTCCTCTAGTAATAGACCTCTGAATCTCCGAGTTCCTAGGTATATCCTACCAGAATCCTACTGCGATTTCGCTTATAAATACTGCTGATTTCAGCTCATAAATACTTCCCTTCCAATTGAATTACGATGAGGATTTAAATAATACTTTACCTTTAGTTAATCTAGCTCCTCCCATAGTTAACGCATCTTTTTATGTTGTTCTATAATCATTTAATATCCTGAGCCTGATTAGCAAGATTTTCTATACCATTTTCCATTAGAATAGCAGTATTTTCTGTTAATTCATTTGGATCTTCTCCTACTTGTGCTGCGACTACATTAAACAAACAATTATTTTTTCCCGTATAATTTCCTTCTGGCAATGTCCAAGGATGTCCTGAAGGATTATCTTTGTTTGGCTTATAATATTCCATTTCAACTGGTTTACCATCTTTATCTTCACCAATAAGGCGTATGACATTTCCGTTTCCATCTAAAACTTTTTCCGGTGGTTCTGCTGCTCCACTCAATGTGCGTAAATGAGGTAATCTAGCTTCCCCACCGTCTTTCAATCCATCTATAATTTTATTCGCTTTAGCTACAGCTTCTTCATCCTTCAGACCTTCTTTTTTAAATTCATCTGGTAGTCTGTCAATGTCAACTTTGCAAGGGGGAAACAGCATTACTTCTATGTACTTCTGAAGTAGGAAGTACGCTGTTTCCCCCTTGCAGCTTTGTTTTGAAAAAATTCAATTCTTCTTTCTGCTTGATAATTACCAATTTCATCTTCAAGACTTTTGTCTGTTCCTGCTGTTAATTTTTTCGTGCCATAATCAATGTCAATATGAGTAACAGGAGTAATTAACTTATTTTTTATAATATTACACATATTCACACATACACTGATTGTCAAACATTTATGCAATCCTTCTGAAGTATTACTTTCTTGTTCTTGTTCTTCTTGATTTTGATCTGTATAAATGTCAATGTCTGTTTTGAATTTTTCTACAATAAAATTAGATGTATAATTATCATTCATTTCTTCTTTTGTCATGTTTTGTTTGTTAACAACTGTTTGTTGTATGTTTGCTTGCTGTTTAAATTTTGTTGTTTAAATTTTGATAATAATTATTTCTATTCTGGCCGTCTAATTTCAACATTTTTTAGGCATGAGAATTTGGTAATAATGCATCTTGTATTGGCTTTTTCAATTCATCCCATCACCTCTTCTTCTATACTAGACATCAGAGCTTTATTCACACCATAATCAACAAGCTGCGTTACTAATTCCTTGGCTGCGCCTTTAGCCAAAGAGGTACCAATAGCTAAAGAGCAAGACCAATAAGCGCTACGCCGATTATCGACCATTAATCAATTGGTTTTATTTCTATAATTTTGAAATTTCCTCTAAAACCATTATTTTTATATTACACAGAGAAATGTTAAAATTAAAGTCGAAAAGAAAACATCACGATTGATATATCGTTCGATTAAAGCATGTTTGCTGAACGTATTTTGAGAGGATCGAATCACTTTTGTTTGATTACCTATAAATCATCATTTTTAAACAAAATATTTCACTTCTTTTCCACTTACCAGCATAAAGTACCATCAATATAATCTGTTATTCGAAGAACACAACCCCGTAAGAGAAGATTATTATTATCACATGGATAGACAGTGGTTGTCGTGGATAATAGTAAACGCCCATGAAATTGATAAATATCATCATTTGGTTTATCGCATTGTAATTCAAAACTGGATTCTTCTGGATTGGCCATATTCAGAAAACAAGTAAGAACACTCTTTTGTTTCAAATTTGTCTCACCATCGATGGCAGCAGTTTCCAAATAACAGGTACTTTCAAGAGATGTTGAAGAAAGTAGAAGGATACCAGCCGGAACGATTTGATCGACACCAACTCGAACAACATTGCCCACGGATCTTACCATTTACATGGCGAAAAGGTTTTTAAGGTCCTAGAAAATGAAGAAAAATTGATTGATATGACTTTCTCATTGGCAAACTCACTTGTCATAAACTTCGGCTATCTGCTTGTTAATTTTGACATCGCTCCGCCATCGTTTTAAATCTTCGACTAGATCTTTTACGCCAGTAACGATCAAAATAATGGTGAGAGGTAAAAAGGCGACCTAAACGACATCAGAATTTTAACAACAAAAAAACTGTTGAATCTGTATTTACATTTTCCGAGAGAGTATTGAGTAGCGGCACCCAATTGAGATCAATTAAAATGGCAAAGTAGATATTTGCTAAACGCTGAAATTGATTAAAAAGATTTTTTGGTAAAAATGTTATAATATTATAACGTGTTGTTCGCACACGATTTGATTGTAATGTTCGTTTTTGTCGGCTTTTAATTGCAATCCATAGTGAAGATTCATTTGTGGACGGTATATTGTGATAAACGTTGTAGTTTTCTCGATTGCATAATGGTAATTGAATACCATTTGTTACCAATGAATTGGTCGACCCGCGAACATTTCGTAATGATGGTGATTTTCTCTTTCGATGAAACATGGGCACAGTAGCACAGTTACCTGTTTACCATCAAACCAAATCGAGAGAAGAATGTTTTTTTTATTCAATCGTTGAAAAATGGAAGAAAGTTCAATGACGTAGCTTTTTTCACTCTGTACTATTAACAAAGAGGTCCTTTACCGACACATGCACAACAATTAATTCTACGTCCTCTAGACGCACACTACACTTTCTGTCTTCTTCTTATTTACTCACTCGATTCATTCAATCGCTCACAGGCAAGAGAAAGAAATCAGCAATATATGTGATCCAATCCTATCTTCGACATTGGATGTAAGGTGCCGGAAATTCGAAGTTTGAGCAAGGTTTGTTTTTTAATTTATTTGTCGATGGTTGGTTAGAGCGGACAAAACTGGATAGGAAAATGCAGTTTTAGATTTTTACTATGAAAGAAATTACAATGCAATTAGACAATAAAGAACAAACAAAAACTTTATTTAACCAGAAAAATCATCATCTAGATCTCGTTCGTCTTGTAATGTTCGTTGTTTATTTAACGACGGTTGCAATGGAGATACATCAAATAGTTTTCTTCGTCTTGCCAGTGGACTATTTTTCTTTGCATCATGGATCATTTGTGTTAATGATGTTTTAATTGTATTATATTTTGACCAAACATCTTTAAATGGAACCTTGTGGATATAGGCGATTGCACCTATGAATAATGAGCATGAAAGCAGTAGAGCAGTGTGGAACAAATATATTACCTAATATAACTTCGAATTCTCCTCTTTCAAGGGAAGAAAACTGATCATGAGCACCAAAAACTAGTCGCATCATATCCCGTCCAGTTTTTCCATACGTTGCATCTGGAATTACTTGTGTCAAATCAACATGTCTCAATGACAAAACTAAATCTTTATCTTCTTCGACTGATCTGCTTAGCAGATCAGTCGAAGAATTATGACAAGCAGATTCTGCTTGTCATAATCTTTGTTGCCTTAAGGTAAAGTAAGAAACTACATGAGATGTGAACAAGACCAGGATATATATTTTAAAGACGTGTCGAGAAAAGAAAGTGTAAGGGGAGCTATCATACTATTTATCATATTATTCTTTATTTGAGAAACTAGACTTCAACCATTAATGCACCTTGTTGAATATTGCCTACTAACCTGCGACAACAGAATTCTGTAAGTACTAAGTGAGTAAGATGATTAAATTTTCAAGAACAAGAGCGCTGACAGATGACTTACCATCCTAAGGTAGTTTGAGGATTGTTTTATTGATTTTGTTACATCTTTAGGTATATTTGTCATCTCTTTCATTAATGTTAATGTTTCTGTTAATTGTTCATTCAATTTTTGGTTTGAATTAATTAATTCAGTCGTTAGTTTATTGTAGGGAGCCATCGCATGATCTACCGCTATAAGAACAAATCCACGTAAGCGTAAGTGAGAGATATTAACTTTAACTAACCTAATTTTAACATTTCCATTGTTGATTTTTGTGAAATACTGGATGAAGTGGTAGCAATTTGACCGTGGCTTGTATTATTATTATTTGGAGTAAATTTATTTCTTCCACTGAATGATATTTTGTTTGTTGTAGTTCTCTGTTGTTGTTGTTGAGAATGATAAATAGGAGTGGCTGTGGAGGGTATTTGACGACCTAAATAAAAATATAGCATATAGAGCCAAGTTAGATCTGAAATATGGTGCGTATCTGTTATTTTCCGAGCAGAAGAAATGCTCGCTCAACAAGAAGTCTATCAAAATTTTATAAAAGAAACATGCAGAAAGGAGAAGACAGACGTATGCGCAAAACTATGAACAAACGCATCATTTTTCTATTATTTACTTTGATTAATCTGTGTGCGAGAGTAAACATTTTCATTTTGAAATCTCTATTGATTGTAACAATTATCATCCGCATCATTTAGATCATCAATCGTCATTGGTACGATAATTAACTCCGCATAAACATCACCATTATTTTCCGATAAGGGAATACAAAACAGATTTTGAGTCGGTGTTGCTGCACCTGCCATATCTGAATATATAACAATATAAATCTAAATCAGAAAATAATAGTAATAATTAATACAAGTTGATTAATACAATAGTAATTAATAGACTTTTCAGTCAAGTGTTCACCTTTTTAGAATTAAAATATTCTAAAATAAAGGTCGTTTACCAATACACTAAGCGAAAAAATTTATCTATAGGAGCAGAAAATTCACCAATACGGGTATGTTGTAAAATAGCAATAACTTTACTAATAATTGAATTAATAAACAATAATAATCAACTGTTCTCTGTATCAAAAAAAATTTCAGATAGTAAAACAAGATGCGGAAGAGGAATGAGAATACATTTGCACACAAGTTGAGATAAGGGGATAGATACACAAATTCTATCTAAAACATCGCACTTAACATAATATTTATCTAAATATTTACAAGTTACTGAAGAAGATGGCCATTTTTTAAAAACATTACTTAGAGAAAAAATTTTTTTTTCTGTTTTAAACATACGAATAAAAGGAAATAAACTCTGATTTACAGAAAAATAAAATAACACCTCGCCAAATAACACCTCGCCCTATAAAAACACCTCGCTGTTTTACATTATTTATATCTAGAAAAGAAACTAGGTAGCTAACTGAGTTACCTTTGCGTGTATAAGAGAGAGAATGAAATACGATTAAACCACGAGAAGCGCGCGCATAGAAATGAATATCTACACTGTCATTAACACCGATAACATTATCTAATGAATGATGAAATTCATGATGGTAGTTTTCTACAACTCGATCATCGAGAAAAGTATCTACCAATAATTTTTCATCGTTGAAAATATTATCCAGTGTTAAAGTTTCTTCTTCGGCAAGGTACCTAGATCTCTCAAGACCACGAGATATCTGGAAAGCAAGTTGCCGTGTTCCTGTGCGGAACGATTTTAAATACCGAATAAAGCTCTCATTCGCAAAGCAATTATGGTAGCAAAGTGCTCCGTGATCAGCCACTTTACCGGCTAAATGAAGATGTGAATGTAGTGATAACAGCTCCATGGAAGGACCGTACAGAGCTTGCACATCTCTGTTGTACAAATGAATAAGAGGTTTAACCTCTTCCACTTCACAATACTGGTGATAAAAATAAAAAGTCCGAATAGAAACAAAATATAATGCAAAATGTGCAGCTATAGTCTCAGGAAGGAAAGTGATAGAGAGAGGGAACATAAAATATAAAAAGCCTTCCAGTAGCTTTTTTCCGAAAGAGAAGTCAATTCTGTGTTAAAATTATGAGACCATTTTATATTTCTTAATATTGTTGTAGCCTCTCGCCATGCTTGGCCACTAACAATTTGTTCCCATTTCAACAATGAAGAACAATGTCCAGTAAAAACTAAATGCATAATGTCAATGTCTATTTGTCTCGGAATATCGAACAGCGAGACAAGAGGACTGACTCCCTGGACTCCCATTATATTAGCGTGTCTCTCTCTGACGGCCAGATCAGCACAAACTGACGTGAGATATATGCTAATGTTCTTGGTTGACATTGTTCTTCTTGATTATAAGGATACATCATTATACTTGCATCTTTATTATAAATACCTTGTATAGTACACTCAATACACGCATAATATCCGTTATGTTGGTTGTGCTTCAATGCAAATGATCGGACAGGACCATCAGCTTTAAATAACTGGACATCAATTATGTAATCATCATCATCAATTCTAATCGTCTTTTTCAATGACTGTAGTATTTCTGAGAGTAGAAGATCGATTGGTGGCTTGATTGGTCCATTCCTGAAACCATTAAAATTAGTTTTTTTTAAAAATGGAAATTTGATACTACTATCTCTACGCCTATCGATACATCTCATGTTTTTATTCACGAATCACCCGAAAACCAAACTAAACAGATAGGGAGGATTCATAAAAAGTCAATTTTACTACATTTTTATTAATGAAACATACTCGTCTAAAAGTCACTAATATAAAATAAAGCTCTGTAAAGCGAATCTCATCCATGTAGTTGGAAAAGAAATTATTTAGTGAAAGGATGATCCTTAAAAATTGTCTCAAGCACATCCTTTTAGACTATCTCCTCACTTAGAATAATGCAAAAGAAAGAGGCAGTGAAGCACAAAAAATTACCAAATGGCTAATAGAAGAATATTGTTTTGATTTTCTCGTAAATAAGGTGGAATTTCACAAATAGAGGCAGTAACAGGCCACGTCTGCTTTTTAGTCCAACGTACAATAGGAGCCCCGTCTATGTGTATCATTAAAGTGATAGGATGTGGTCCGTCAACATTGTCACACTTGTTTTTCCTTAAACTTTCTTGATAAACAGATCGAGTTAAGATATCACTTGGTGCTAGTTGATTAACAAGACGAGGATACGAAGGAATTAGACAACGATTTCGACGAATTATATTAATCAGTTGAGTATCATTCGTTGTAGTTACGTGCTCTACTACATTACTCGTTTTTCGATAACTTCTGTTTTGTTGACAATTCATTGAACAATGATTATTACTATCGATAATCATGAAACACGTAGAGCACCGTATTATCTCTTTAACAGACTGCTCTTCAATAAACATATTGACTAGTTTTGAATGGTTTGTTACTAATTTGTGGGAAGCAGGTAGAGCAGATGAGGTTAATTTTAAGAGTTTTGTAACATTCAATTCTTCAAGATGGCAACTGTTGCAGAAGTGTAGAAGAGATTTATGAAATTCACGAAGAGAGACAGGGGCAGAAGGATATAATGGTTCATCAACATTTCGGTTCATTGTTCTACAAAATGTGAAGAGAGTGATTCCAGAGGCATAAGTAACGTTTTAAGCAGAGTTGCCAGATGCTCAGGTGAGAATTGCGGAATAAAACTTCCAAAATGCGAAAAATTTTGTTAGAACTTTTAATTAACACGCTGTTTTTTGACTGTATATTTTTTATTAGACTGAATAAGTTTAAGCAGTTCTACCGTTGATAAATAGTCAAAAATTTTAGTGCATGATAACGATGAGCTTAAACGATCTTTTAACCCAGGGGAAAAACAGCAAAAGCAGAAAATGCGAACAAATAGCAATCAGCGGATAAATTGCTCAAAAATCCGAAATTTGTCCGCAAAATACGGACCATGTGGCAACTCTAGTTATAACACGTACACTATTTTGGGATCCTAGATTAGGAATGATATCATCAAGTGCTGTCACATCTTGAATAAGATGTTTCTGTCTTTCTCGGCGAGCTTTAACAAAAACAGAATGACGACTAGGCTCTAAATAAAAATATTCATAAAATCAAGAAATCATGAAAGACTAAATGCACATACCAAGCTCCTCTTTCATACATTGGGTTAACCTTTCAATAAGGTTATTTTCATCCATCACTAAAGCCTTAACTGTCTGTCCGCTACTCTTAACTGGCTCTTAACTATCTAATCATCACTATAGGCACCAACTGTCTGTCTTCATGAACTAACTCCTTTGTTCTGTCTCGCGCGTGCATATAGTTTCTCTGTAAATAAAGAAAAGAGAAAAAAAGACAAGATTCCTTCAAGAATTTATACGACAAAAGAATCCTTAAAGAGTAACTTCAAGAACGTCGACTAGTGTATATATTTTTCGACATTTTTTCTTTCGACGTTTTCATATCCTTTCCAGATTCGTCAAGGTTTATTGAATCGATCTTGAAACTTCAGAAGATATACTATTCTGTATTATGTACATGGTTCTAGAATGAGAAAAGCAAGAAAAAGCATTCTTTCATCCGGGTTTTTCTGAAAAATCCGACTGGAAAACCAAGCTATTTTCTTTGACTTTTTGCTATAGATGGACTTACCCAAATTTAATTCAAAATACATTCATCGGGATTCGTTTTTGAAATCGATAGTAGTATCCAAACTTCATTGCTAATCCTCCTGACTAATCCTTTTCAAACAGTTACTTCACACTTTTTTTTTGAAACAATCATCATATTACCCATCTAATCAAATACGATACCAGCAATGAAATAAGCTAAAACTGATTCATCTCATAACAGATCTCTCGAAATTTTGAATTTGTGAGAACAAATAGCCGTAGCACTCGAGAAATATCAAAACAATAACTGAATGCTAAGATCTATACAAAGTATACAGATGGTTAGACACAGCCAGGATGGCCGAGTGGTTAAGGCGTTGGACTTAAGATCCAATTCACAATAGTGAGCATGGGTTCGATCCCCATTCCTGGCAGATGTTTTTCGGGTACTTTTTTCTCACCTAAGTATTTGAAAAGCATTCAGATCTTGTTTTATTTTCTATAATTATAGAAAATACTTCCACATTTTTAATTAATTCAAAATGTGAAAATTCATTTGTTTTAGTTAAAATCTGATTTGAAGATTTCTTATACAAATATTTTGTCGCGAGAGACTTGAGGCGTTGTATCACACCGATCTTTAAGGACTTGGTTGTTTTTGTTATTATTTTTCGAGTGCCGCGGCTATTTGTTCTCACAAATTCAGAATTTCGAGAGATCTGTTATGAGATGGTATCACTTTTATCTTGTTTCATTGCTGGTATCATATTTGTCATACTACAATAATGTAGGATGGGTCTATTAATACCGCGAAGTGTCAGCAATGGCTGTTGACTCCACCGAGTGGTGGCACTAGAGGCTTTTTGACGTCTACTGAAAGTCGTAAAAACAGCTATTGACACTACTAAACTGTGCCATCAATGACTATTCACACTTAGTGGAGGCCACACGAAGAGCTATTGATATCCCCAGGATTTAGCGGCCGAATCAAGCCTTGTTATCGAAGGGATGTTAAGAAAAGCTACTGACACCTACTGGAGGTGCCGGCGATAGCTATTGACATCACCAGGCTTGGAGGTGGGAGGAAGGGCGCTTGACACTGTCCAACATACGTTGAACAGTATGAAGCGTAATTTAGAGTAATTTATTGAGTGTTTCTCCTATCAACCCCTAAGCATGAAGGTGTCAGTAGCTCTTGCCGACACCTCCTTTAGGCGTCAATAGCTTTTCTTCACATGTCTTCGATATCAAAGCTTGGTTCGGTCGATAAATCCTACAAGTGTCAACAGCCCTTAGTGCCACGACTCGGTGATACCAATAGCCATTCCGGACATCACCGGTGGTATCCATGCTTAAAGGTGGTAGAAAGAAACACTCAATAAATTGCTGTAAATTACGTTTCGTACTGTTCAACGTATGTTGGATAGTGTCAAGGGCTCTTCCTGCCAGCTCATCAGAGTTTCAGACGTTCTTCAAAGGGGTTTTCAAAGTTCATTTTCCCGCGTAGAAAAGACCAGTTGAAGACTGATTTTATACAAATAAAAAAGGTCAACTTGACCACACGTTTTCGACAAGTAAGATGGTCGAAAAGTCTCAGTTTCTGGGGTGAATTTTCTCTTGACTAGCAAATAGAGAAAAATCGTTTTTTTTCTATTACCTTAAGCCATCAACAGCGGATCTCTTCATAATATTCAGAGCCTAACTAAGAACTCTGACGTACTTGAACAGTTCACAAATTACCATAAGCTTGTTGCTGTTTGTTTACAGGAAACGTGTTTATCTTCAGTTATTTCAGACAGTGAAATTTCAATTCCAATCTATTTTCTTTATCGCTGTGATAATCTTCGCACGCGTGATGGTGTTTGTGTATATATAAAAAGTAACATTTGTCATCATTTTATTCTTTCTTCTATAGACACTGAATCACTTCCTCTCTCCATTACAATCAACAATCACACGTTTTACTTGTGTAATTTATGCCATCGTCCAAGGCGTCCAATTTCATTCTTTGATACTTTATAAAATTTTCTTCTTTCATGTAAAAGTAGATTTTTCTATTATCTTGTCAGCTGATTTCAACATTCGTACAGTTAGACCGACAGCATCAGTAGGAGTTCTTTAATAGATGTATTTGACCTCACTAATGCTTTCTCTATACCAACCACAATAAAAAATACGTTTATTGATAATATATTCTTCTCTTCTTCGTCTTGTTCCTATCAAAAATATTCCTATTGTCAAAGTAAGAACTCTCCGTTTTTCTCAGCGTACTCGTTATCGTCTACGGAAAAGAAATACGGCTCTTAGAAAATCAAAACAACATCCATCTCGTTTGTTTGCTACATATAAAAAAAAAATCTCGCTATTAGTTCAATTCGTAGCGACAAAAAACAGTATTATTAAAGACTTTTCAAATAGTAAAAGGTTTTGGTCAGTCATAAAAAAGTATCGCGATCTTGTTGCAGATTTACCACCTTCTATGCAATATAATTCGTCTACAGCTAGTGATGATTCTTCTAAAACCGAGTTATTATCTACTTTCTTTCAAACTAGTTTTTCACAACTTTCTTCACTTACCACGAATAATTTTCAACTTCCTTTATCCTCTCAGTCTCTATCCGAAATTAAATTTGATGTTTCTGATGTGTTTGAAGCTGCAAGTAGTTTAAAAAATAAAACTTCTTTAGGCACCGATAAAATTCCTATCAAACTTTTAAAGCTTATTGCTAATGTAATTTTTCCTCAGTTATATCATATCTTCTCCCTTCCACTTTCGACCGGTGTGTTTCCTCTTGCCTGGAAAGAAGCTATTATACGTGCCAAACATAAGAAAGAAAGCAAGTTACTCGTCAAAAACTATCGTCCTATTCCACTATTGTCAAATGTTAGTAAAGTGTTTAAGAAGCTGATTTACAAGTATTTATACTCATTTCTAAGCACAAAAAACATTTTTAACCCAACTCAGTTTGGCTTTCGTCCAAGTACTTCAACCATAGATGTTCTTCTGCTTCTCACTCAAAAGGTTTACCAGTATCTGGAAAATAGTGCAAATTAATTGGCATATCATTTGATTTTGAAAAGGCATTCGACACTGTACCACATCATATTCTACTACAAACACTGGCTAAAGCAGGAATAGTCGGAAGTCTTTTGAAAGGATTCGCTTCTTATTTTTCAAATCGTACACAAAAAGTTTCTGTGGGCTCTGTTTTTTCTTCTTCTGTTCGAGTGTCGTCTCAAGGCAGTATTCTTGGCCCGATTTTATTTCTCATATTTATAAACGATCTTGCACCATTTCTCAAATCTTCTCTTCTTTCTTGTCTGTTTGCTGACGATGTCTTCTATATTACAAACATATTCAAAGCTCAAAAATGTATTAATAAGCTTGTTCTCTGGTGTGATATGAATGAGGTCAAATTAAACATAAACAAATGTCTTTGGATTTTATTTCCAAATGCTACTAAACTGCTTCCGTCACTCACTCTTTCAATAAACAACGTTGATATAGAAAGAGTTTCGTCTCTTAAGCTTCTTGGCATGATTATTTCGTATAATTTAACGTAGGAGGCTCACATTGAATATGTTTCAATAAAATCTCGTCAAATATTAGGCTCTATCTCAAGAGACTTTCGTGGCTCACCTTCACTTCTTCTTTGTCTCAAAACTTGTGTGAGAACCCTGCCTGAATACGGTTGTGTTATCTACGATTTCACTTTTACTGGAATTTTACTGAAAACTTGGATAAAACTCTGCGCCTAGCTAGTAGGATCATTTCACAAGATTTTAGTAGTTCTTCTTCTCTACTCAAACAATTTAAAACTCAACCGCTTTCACACAGACGTCTATATTATCACCTTCTCTATTTCTATAAAATTTTCAGTCATAAAAGATCTCTCTCCTCTTTTGATATGATTTCACGGTTAACGACGCGTCAAAGTTCTCAATTAGGCCATGATAGTCGCGTGTTAATTCTTCTTTAATATCAAAATCTGCATCTAGCTCTTTTCTTCTACGAACATCAAAAGATTGGAATGAACTACCTTTTGTTTTAGCCAAGCAAACTTCTTTAGCTTTTAAAAATATGCTTAGAGGTTACACTGACTTTTAATAATGCTATTTTTATTATTATTGCTATCATACGTTTTATAGTTACGATACTACTATTTATCTCGGTACGGTCAGAGAGCAAAACTTTTATGCAAAAGCAGTATATCGTGATAACTTTTTGTGTAACATTCTATAATACCTCGTCGCTATGGATTTACGACTTATCAGTTTATGTATCTTTTCTGACTGCGATGTTTTATCATAAAAAGCATCATGGGATGCATAAGTTCTATGAAACTATTTTTATTTACTTATTCTATCACATGATGACTATTAACTACATAACTTCGCCCAAGTTTCAAAACATGATATACAAAATACAAAACCAGGCTCATTTATTCTTCTTTTCCAATAAACGAATGTTGGCGGTAATCTCGTTCGCGATAACGTCGTTTTTGGTACTGTCGTTCGCGGTAAGATAATTTGTCATCCAGCTTGAG